AAATGCAATATGTTGCAAAGAAAGATACCTTGAGGAGCATCGCCGCCAAGTCTTTGCCCTTAGTAGCTCTAATCATCCATTTGAAGTTCATCAGTCCAACCTCCTAAAGAGCGCCGAATCCCATGTTATGCGAGGATAATGCCATGTATTTTCAATCCAATTGCACCGGAAGAATAAATGGGTTCTATCTTCTATACCACTCATACATAAATTACAATTGATATCAACTAAAGGCAACTATCGTGATACGATTTTTGCTGTCAATTTATCCTTGCAAACAAGTCAACTAATAAAATTATGTTTGTATCGCTGGTCCAAATTATGGTACACCACTCCACAATCGGTCCCACATGTCTGAGTTTGGCATATATCTCTTTGCATCAGTACCTTGAGCTAGAGATGGCCCAATTTAGAGCAGGTCTCAGCTGAAGAAGACCTCGCCAACTGCCGGCCATACTGCCTTTGATATCAAGCTGCATAATCGATGGTAGCTACGAGGCATATAAAAAGATTTTCAGTTATTAATAAAAGTGTTAACATAATTGAAATGCAAAAAGTTCATATTTTTATAGTATTATTAGATTTGTCATTTATACGGAAAATTTTCATTTTTACAAGTATTTAAGTATTTGAAAGCCGTACCTCAGAGCAAATCCATGATATTGCATTTCTTCTCTTTATTTTCAGTTTTTCAATGACTTGAACATGCATATGTTTAGGAAACTTTAAAACTTTCAATATATGATAGGTGTACGTAGTTTATTTTAGGTTTCTTTATGTATAGAATCACGTATGTTTATGTTGCTAGAGATATACTATTTTAGGTTTCTTTATGTATAGAATCACGTATGTTTATGTTGCTAGAGATATAATTCTAGGAGATCGTAGTTGTTACTTATTTTTATGATGTTATACAATTGGATTGTCTATAACATTGATCGATTAATAGTTCGAAGGCTATTGGTATAACATGCATGGAACTTACGCTTGGTCATTGTGAAAAACGAAGAGGTCCATGTGATATCGGATTCCAGTGGTCCTCGCAAGCCAAGTTCATTTTCGAGCTAGGAGTCAAAGCTCTAGTTCCCATAATCTCTTGTGCAGCGACTAGTCCATCCGTTTCTCCTGCTCGGAATAATTTCTTCAATGGGACCCGCTTATGATGACAGTTCGCAAGTGAAAGCGATCACGGCCCTGGTTGACGCTTATGGTTCGAAAGAAATAGGCCTTATCCCCGAAGATACCAACCATGGCAATGGTCTGCTTTCGTAACTCACGGTGCCTTACAGGAGCGTCATACGCCCTTCCACCCAAGGGGTTGATATCTTGATGGAGCTCACCAAGTTGGTTAAAATGAAAACTAGGCTCTTTCTTTTTCACGTGGCGGCTTCTCTAGGACTGGGGTTCTTTCTGACAGTGTGGAAAGCCGAAATGATGAATGAGTATGCTTAGATCATGATCGACGGGTTATCATCATTGCTCGACCCAGTTGGCTCTGAGGCCGTGGTTCCGATGGAGGGCGTGCTCAGTGTAAGGCCTTATGTACCCGGCAATCGGAAATGGAACGATCACCACACTCCTGACAAGTCACGCTTGCGCGTTAGTGATAGACATCTGAACCTCTTTGGCTAATGGGCGGTCGACACAATTTGGGCGCTAGCCGAGGCGGCTGAGATGGCTTGGGTGCCCACAAAATCAGGTTACTTATATCCTAGGATGAATGGAACTGCTCTCGGCATAGCTTCATGAGGAACTCGTAACATCAGTATCCAAGGTCTTAGTGGGGACTTTCATTTGGTCAAGGGACAATCGCAACCCTCTGCATTTGAAATCTTCAATGTTTTGGCTGTTGGACCCCAAAAGAAGGGTTATCAGGAGAGTTGAAACTGACTCTAGATTATCCCAATGTGAAATGCACAGCCCTTAGGGATGTCTAAGCCCCAATTTGGCCGGGACGTTTATGGAGACCACCAAAGGGTTGGGTAATACCTGTCACTAGTGATATCACCTATTCACCCCCTTTGGATGATACTGTTAGCGAACATCATTCTCAACATGGGGTGCGTCCAAAACTTTGGAAACAAGACTAGAATGTGTGCAACAAGTCTTAGAACAAGGAAGTGAGATTCTAGAGACTGATAACTATAAAAAGGACGTTTTAGGAGAGAATATTATTTTATCCAAATTGTGAGATTCAGCTTATCTAATCCAAGTTTTCATTTCGTTTTTTATTTTATTTTACCAAACTCTCGGTCTTGTGAGTTTGATTTGAGCTTGTGTTCTTGGGTTTTAGCACCGAGTTATCCTTAAGTCTAATTATATTCCTCTATAGACCGTAACCCGATGATTAATAGCACAAGGACTATGGTGTTTCTATATTTGCAAACAACGTTGGGGCACACGGCAGAAGCCCGATATCTTTTCCCAAGGAGATCCTCGAGAGGGACTTCAAAAATGAGCTCGTCAATGTATCTAGTTTGACCCCATTCAAAAGTTTCAGTCAATGAATTATTGGTCAAGTAACATTAATTTTGCATTATACTATATCCTCAATGTGGGACTTCTCTTGCGTAACACCCTCACACGTGCACCTTAACAAATCTCCCCTCACCTGTGAGCCACCTGTGTTAGGCCCGCACCCCTTGAATCCAAGTGTCATTTGACTTGAACATTATCTCTCAAATCTCCACCTTGACCTGGCCAAGTTTTTGGGAGATGGTTGGTGAGAGGATTAACATCTGCTCTTAAGATTCTACCTTACTCTCCTTAACCCAACTAAGTTTAGCAGGAAGTCGGGGGACATCATTTAACACCTCACTTAAGGAGTAACATTCGAATTCCTTCTTTGACATGTTCATCACACTTTGTTTCATAAATGTAGGCCCAATCCATCCAAACCATAAGTTTTGATACAATTTGTTGAGATTCATAGCAAATGCCCAATAACTTCACCCACATTTATTCAAAAGTTTCAGCCAATGAGTTAAGACCAATTAGGGTATATTATTTGATTCACATTAAATCATATTCTTTGGCCTAACACCCTCACATATGTACCTTAACACTACAAGCTCCTTTCAATTAGGAAGTCCATCTTGGAAAGGGCTGATAGCTTGTTTGGCAAATTCTAGAGAAACAACTTCAAAAGGAAATGCTTTGAGTTCTAATCCATTGATTACACAGAACAAGAAAAAGATAATACATCATAAATTGTATGCTTTCCTTAAATGGGTATTTCACGAGTGCATAAATACATTCGTTAACAAAATCTTTCGAAAAATGCCTTTGAATCGAGTCGTAAACACCTTATACTTAGGTATTGCTCATCCGCAGTAGACACAGGATATCTCACCAATGGGGAAAAGTGCCAAAAAAGTCCTAAACCTTTTGAATTAGTTCCAATTTAGTCCTAAATCTTTTTTTGGTACCAATTCAGTCCTAAACCTTTTGCATTGGTGCCAATTTAGTCCTAAACCTTTTTTTGGTGCCAATTAAGTCTTAAACCTTTTAAATTGGTGCCAATTCAATCCTAAACCTTTTGTTTTTGTGCCAATTGAGTCTTTTCGGTCAATTTTGACCGGAATTTGCCGATGTGGACGCCCGTCGGCCGGTGGCCGACGACCGGCCAGAGGAAGGAGGGGGGACCAAAAAAAAAGTGGAAAAAAAGAAAAAAAGGAAAAATAAAAATAAAAATTCAAAAAATATTAAAATATTATTAAAATTATCCACGTCAGCGCCACGTCGACGCCGGTGACTGGCCGCCGGCCGACAGGCATCCACGTTGGCAACCCGATCAAAATTGATCGGAAGGACTAAATTGGCACAAAAATAAAAGGTTTAGGACTAAATTGACATCAATTTAAAAGGTTTAGGACTAAATTGACACCAATGCAAAAGGTTTAGGACTGAATTAGCACCAAAAAAAGGTTTATGACTAAATTGGCACTAATGCAAAAGGTTTAGGACTTTTTTGGTAATTTTCCCCTCACCAACGAGAGTGACGGACCAATCACCTTCTCCTTTTTGTTTCTCCTACGGTTGTTTTCTTTGATGCCACATGACAATAGACGTGAAACGTGCAGATCCTAGTAAAAAGTAATAACGTGTGTTACGATCATGTGGGTCTTTTTGGGTTATTGCGAATAGGTGGGACCAAAGCACTAAATATATGCAAGGACAAAGACAATGACTCTTCACACCTACGACTTTTCCTATGAATCTACAAAGTTTTAATATAACGTAGGACCAGTACTTCCCTATAGAATCAATCAATGTGTATAAAAATCAGAGATAATTGGCTCAACATCCCAACTCTTAGCTTTTTTGAGAGTTTAGAATTGGTCCTTTGCACTCGTGATTCAAATAGATTAGCAGACTGGGTTGTAAAGGCCTTCAGGTGTAAGACCCTCTCCCGAAACTGGGTTTGTAACCCCCCTTCCCCTCTTTGAGAAATTCTGTGTTTTGATGCCCCTTACTCTTGTAGGTGGGCCCGGGTTTAATGAAATGATATCTCTATTTCGACTAAAAAAAAAAAAAATCAATGTGTATACATCAGACAATCGAATCCTATGGAAACCAAAGAAAATCAATGTATAAGTAGTTGGGAGTCAACAAGGGAAGCAATAGGCAAACACAACCAAGAGACAGAGAGTATGGAGGGTCTTGCTCATCCGCAGTACACATAGGATATCTCACCAACGAGAGTGACGGACCTATCACCTCCTCTTTTTTGTTTCTCCTATGATTGTTTTCTTTGATGCCACATGACAATAGATGCGAAACGTGCGGATCCTAGTAAAAAGTAAAAACATGTGTTACGGTCATGTGGGTCTTTTTGGGTTATTGCGAATAGGTGGGACCAAAGCATTAAATATATGTAAGGAGAAGACAATGACTCTCCACACCTACGACTTTTCCTATGAATCCACAAAGTTTTAATATAACGTAGGACCAATACTTCCCTATAGAATCAGTCAATGTGTATATATCGGACAATCGAATCCTATGGAAACCAAAGAAAATCAATGTAAAAGTAGTCGGGAGTCAACAAGGGAAGCAATAGGCAAACACAACCAAGACACACAGGATATGGAGGGGCAGATAAGCTACTTGAGTCTTGCACTATTGTGTTGCCTTCACCTGGCCTCTGCTATCGAAACCTCTAGTGTAATCAAAGAGAACCCAGCAAAGGAAATGATTCGAGTCGGGCTAGTTTACAGCAGGAACTCAACCATCGGGAAGGTGGTGATGAGTTGTACATCCATGGCGCTCTCTGATTTCTATGGTGTGCACCCTCATTATCGTACCCGATTGTCGCTTCAATTCAGATATCCAGAGGACGACGTCGTCGATGCGGCATCGGCAGGTAAATATATGTCACTTGTGTCAGACATATTGGGCTCATGCTCATGAATTAGATTATTCACAATCTCAAACAATATTACCAATGAATCTCGATTCTTCAGGACTTCAAATACTTGTCATCAAGCAATTAGTATTTGCTTTTTCCTTGTCTGATCCACAATATTAATACACATACGATGAAGCGTTTCTTAGAGTGAGTTATTAACCTAGAATAGACCAAAAATTTGGCTAGGAAGGATCAATCTACATAGTTCAATGAATTCTCATTAGGTTCTGATGGGGCTTCTAATATTTATAGTATTAGTAGCATGGTTGTTATGGTGCAATGTAAGGAGAGAATCTGCTCCGACCAAGCAAGGACTCAATGAGTACAGAACCAGTGCAGCAACTCAAGGAGTGGTGACTAAGACTACAACCTAGCACCTCTCACAGCAACTCGACCTCGTCCTTTTCAGATTGAGGCTTTTTTTTTTAGATATAGTGTTTTTCTCGTTGATTTTTCCACCGCTATTTCTTTTCTGATTGCTTCTTCTTCTCCTAATCATGGAGCCAAGAGAGAGATGAACAGAGGGAAAATCTTTCTTCAGAGAAGGAATGAAACACTGCAAGTGTGAATGAGTCCAAACAAAATGCTAAACTTTTCTATATAGAAAAAGAATCGGGTCTTATTTTTTTTTGAAAGTATTTTTTGAGAGATGGTAAAAGTTCGGAAATTGGGCGTATACGATACCAACATATGCGTTTAAAAAATTATGTGAAACTTCGGGCCTAGCCCAGGCTGAACTGAATTGGCCTGATCCGGTTCGGTTCTGGCTAAAATGCTCGAACTTCAATTCTGGGCAATTTCCGGCGGTCGAGCTTATATTTTGCCAGAAACCCGGCCTGCCGGGCCTGTAATCACCTTCGGTGCTTTACCGCTAGAATCGAGGTTTGTCTCTTCCCTCTCCTCTCTGTCTCTCCCCTCTGTTCTCTATCTCTCTCTAGCTTTATTCTTTGCCTTTTTCCCTCTTCTCTTGCCGTCGATTGTGGGGCTCCTCCATGGTTGTCACGATCTTGGTCTCATATCAATGCTCGCTGCCATGGAGGGAGCCGTCGCTTGGAGACCTAGAGGCTCCACGGCCATGGAGATCAAACCTCCAGATCTGGAGGGCTCGACCTGATGTTGAGCACTGCGTTCGAGGAGAGAGAGTGTGTGTCCATGCAATCCCACTTTTTTTGGTAGATCATTTTTTTCATTAAATACTAGGAGTGAGCGGTCCCTGATCCGATCCGGTTCAACCCAAGAATCGGGAACCGGACCGGGAGGACCGGTTCCCAGTTTCTAGGACCAGAGACTGGACCGGCTAGTCTTGGGACCGTGGATCGGACCGGACTCTGTGCAGTCCGATTCCAATGGGACCAATATTAAATATTATATATATTATATATTATATATATGAAAAAATTAGAAAAATATATATTTATCGGTCTGATCCAATCGGTCTGGTCCGGTCCGATTCCCACCCTAGAACCGGGAATCGGACAGCTCGGAAACCGGTTCCACCTTTAGGAACCGAGAACTGGACCGATATTCCCGAGAACCGGACTAAACCGGTCGGTCCGGTCCGATCCTGATTTGGGCGGTCCATCTTACTCACTCCTATCAAATACATCGTGTTTACAGTTTTGGACTTGATGGAGAACGAAGAAGTCCATGCAATCCTGGGCCCACAATGGTCCTCACAAGCCAAATTTGTAATCGACTTAGGAGTAAAAGCTCAAGTCCCGATCATATCCTTCTCAGCGACAAGCCCATCCCTTTCTCCCACAAAAAGCCATTATTTCGTTCGGACAGCCTATAGTGACAGTTCACAAGTTGGTTCTTTAGCGGCTGTCGTTCAAGCTTATGGTTGGAGGAAAATAGCTCTTGTTTATGAAGATACTGACTATGGCAATGGCTTGGTCCCATACCTTGTTGACGCGTTACAAGAGGTCGATGCTCGGATCTCTTATAGAAGCGTTATTCCTCCATCTCCGGAAGATATTGACATCGTAAAAGAGCTCAATAAGTTGTTGGTGATGCAAACAAGAGTGTTTCTTGTTCATATGACTGCTTTGATTGGGTCTAGGTTCTTTGTTCTTGCGAATAATTCGGGACTGATGAGTGAGGAGTTTGCGTGGATTGTCACCGATGGTTTGTCGTCTTTACTAGACCCTGTCAGCTCTAAGGCATTGGACTCGATGCAAGGTGTGCTGGGTGTTAGGCCATTTGTACCACCATCGGAGTCCCGTGGAAATTTCGAAGAGAGATGGAAAAAGCAATACCTCGAGTTATATTCACGCAACGAGATTACTAATCTCAGTCTCTTTGGCTTATGGGCATATGACACCGTTTCAGCATTAGCGTTAGCAGGAGAGATGGTATGGGAGCCTGCAAAGTCTAGATATTTAAAGCCGAATATGAGCAGAAACAATCTCGACTTTTTGTCTATTGGGATTTCGGAGATGGGCCCGAAATTGCTCCACAAAATTCTAAGCATCAAATTTCAAGGCGTCGGCGGAAAATTTAACTTGCCTAACGGCGAACTTCAGCCGATTGCATTCGAAATATTTAATGTTGTAGGACAGAGGGAGGAAATTATTGGATATTGGACTTCGGCACGAGGACTTTCACCCGAATTGAACCCGTCAACGAAGGAAGAGTACACTGCTTCAGCCGAAGCTTTGAAGCCCCCTACTTGGCCAGGAGTTACATTAAAGCCACCGAAAGGTTGGGTGATACCGATATCAGGACAGAAACTAAGGATTGGGGTTCCAAAGAAAGACGGCTTTAGCGAGTTCTTCAAAATCGAATGGGATCCGCAGACGGGCGTGCCCAGCTACTCGGGATTTGTCCACGACATGTTTCTTGCAGTATTGGATGCATTGCCTTTCGCTATTCCTTACCAGTACGTTCCTTACGTGAATAAGAGCAGGCAAAGTGCAGGAACCTATGATGATATGCTGTACCAAATTAAACTTCAGGTTAGTCAATGCTCTATCTTCGAATTTTACCCCACTTTTTCTTGACAGATGACTAGGTGAAAAAAAAAAAGAATACATGATAGTCCTCATTATTAAGTGCATTATTTCTGAATCTTGTTTGAGCTTTTATACCTTAGACGTTGAAATTTCCTTTCAGAGAAGTAGTTCGCTCAAACATAAATATGCACTGTCATTGGTATACCGGGCTTGTATTTATGCATGACATGATGATCTTCATGATAAAAGTGAATTACCCATGTATATTGAAGTTCATGATGACATGATGATGCAGAAATTCGAGGCGGTTGTGGGAGACACGACTATCGTTGCAAATCGCTTGTCCTACGTGGATTTTACACTTCCCTATTCAGAATCTGGTGTAGCAATGATAGTTGCCATTAAGGATGATGAGCGGAGGAACATGTGGATCTTCTTAAAACCATTGAGTTGGAATCTCTGGCTAACGACCGGTTTGGCCTTAATTTCTACTGGGTTCGTCGTTTGGCTACTCGAACATCGTACAAATGAAGAATTTAGGGGTTGTCGTAGTCAACAAATCGGTTTAATACTCTGGTTTTCCTTCTCCACATTGGTGTTTGCTCATAGTAAGTCCTTTCAAAACTATTGTGCCTTGTTTGTTATTATGATTTTCTTCGTGGTCTTCTCGATGGTAACGGCTTCCATATTTTACTCTACTTTTGTTGTTCTAGCTCGGTCTTTTGTTAGCAATTTACTACGACTTTTATTTATGTAGGAGAGAAGATTGCAAACAATTTGACAAGGCTTGTGCTTACTGTATGGGTATTTGTGGTGCTTATCCTGACTCAGAGTTACACTGCAAGTTTAACTTCATTTTTAACCGTGCAACGTTTAACGCCGAAGTTTGTGGACGTGCAAGACTTGTTAACGAATCAGCTTTCCGTCGGATATCAGAAAGGATCTTTCGTGAGAGGATTTCTGGTGAGACAGCTCAATTTCAATGAGTCCAGCTTGGTTCCTTATGGTTCGCTGGAGGAATTCCACGAGGCACTATCCAAGGGAAGCAAAAACGGAGGAGTCGCGGCAATCTTTGATGAATTGCCCTTCATAAAACTGTTCCTTGCCAGATACTGCAACGAGTACAAAATGGTAGGACCAACCTATAAAACCGACGGGTTTGGCTTTGTAAGTCTCTCTCTCTCTCTCTCTCTCTCTCTCTCTCTCTCTCTCTAGCACACAGAGCTAACCTGTGCATGGACGGGGTTAATATATATGCACCTTGCATGAAAATAGATCTATTATTTTTCATTTTCAGCTTATCACAAATAAATTGTAAAAGCTTTTTCCCGACCAAACAAAAGAAACATAAGCCTTTTTTGTTTTTGGATTTTAGGACTATTTATGTCTCATAATAGGTTCTGACAAAAAAAAAAGAAAAACAATGTCTCATAATAGGTCTCCGAAATAGCAAAAGTAAAATATTCACTTCAATGTGATTTGTCTAAATTCACAGTGGATTCACGTGTTATATACTTAAGACACCTTCACTTTGCATGACAATGGATCTCTCACTATCCATTTTTAACTTACCACAAATAAATTGCAGTCAATATAAGCTTTTTCAGTTTTTTCATTATTTGTAGTTCGTAACAGATCTTTGGAACACGGACACGCAAACAAATTATATTCAAGATAAGCATTTTTCAATTTTTTGGATTATTTGTTTTTCATGATATATCTCGAGAATAGTTATGCAAAAAAATGGATGTCTTAGACACTAAAGGACAATTGTGGGCTCATGAGTTACATAGATGAGTTCAAGAGATTTAGGCTCCGTTCGTTTGGCAGAAAATATTCTCCTTTTGGAAAATATTTTTCCGGAAGTCATTTTCCTGGAAAATGTTTTCCCGGAACATAATTTTCCGGTGTTCGGCGACCGATATGAAAAGGTTTCGGAAAATATTTTTCATTGGCGGCGGCGGGGCGGCCGGCGACCGGCGGCGGCCGGCGACCGGCCGCCGGCGGCGGGCGGCGACCACCGGCGGGCGGCGGCGGGCGGCCGGCGATCGGGCGGCGGCGGCGGCCGGCGACCGGCGGCGGGCGGCGGCCGGCGACGGCGGCGGCGGCGGGGGCGGCGGCGGCGATCGGTATGGGCGGCGGATACGGCAGCGGCGTGCGGCGGGCGGCCGGCGACCGTTGGCATGGGCGGCGGACGGCGACCGGCGGCGGCGCGGCGCGGCGGCGCGGCGACCGGCGGGCGGCGGCGGGCGGGCGGGCGGCCGGCGACCGGCGGCGGCGGCGGCGGCCGGCGACTGGAGGCGGTGGTGGCCGGCGACCTTAGTGAAGAAGAAGAAGAAGAAGCTCCGGAAAATGATTTCCGCTTTTGAAGAAGCGGAAGTCATTTTCCATAGACTTAGGCTATTTTGTGAAGGGGGGAAGGAAAATATTTTTCCACGGAAAACGTTTTCCGCCCCCCGAACACCGGAAAACCCGGAAAATATTTTCCGGAAGAATATTTTCCGCCAAACGAACGGAGCCTTAGACTCCGTTCATTTCGCGGAAAATAACTTTTAGGAAAATATTTTTCGGATTTTACGGCGTTCGGTTAATAAACAAGTCAAGGAAAACATTTTCTATTAATGGAAAACAAACCTTCAAAAGTGGGAAAAATGATTTCCTCTTTTCAAAAAGATGAAATCATTTTCCCTCCTCCTTCTTTCACCATTCATTTTAATTTTTTTAATTCTCATTTTTCTTTTTTATTTTTCTTTTTTAAAATTTTTAAATTTTCTTTTTTTTTCCTTTTTATTTTTTCCTTCTTCTTCAGCCGGTGGCCGACCACAGCGAAGGCTAGCGAGGCTCGAGCTCGCCAAATCAATGACACTCAAGCGTCGCCATAGGGCGGCTAGGCTCGGGCCTCGCTAGAGGTTGGCACGCTCGCCGAATCTGGTGTGGTGGAGCCTCGCTATGGCTGGTCACCGGCCGTCACTGTGACTGGTGACCAATTAGAGAAGAAGGGAAAAAAAAATAAAAGAAAAGAGAAAATTAAAAAAATTAAAAAAATCGATTTTAAAAAATAGAAAAATAAAAAAATTATTAAAAGTAGTGCTTGGAGGAAAATCAAGTTAGATTTTCCATACCAAATGGTAGAAAATATTTTCCAATTCTTTTTTCATATTTGAGCTGAACACCGGAAAATTATGTCATTTTCTTGGAAAATGATTTCTTAGAAAATATTTTTAAAAAACGTCACATTTTCCGCAAAACAAACGGACCCTTAGTATGTCTGCATCTCGTATGATAGCAAACATATTGTTTATTTTTGTCTATCCATGAACAAATCATACTTAACATAAGCTTTCTTTAGTTTGACCATTGCCCAATTATGTTTATGATGAGTATTATAAAAATATAAAAATATTTATAATTATAATAAGTCTCAAGTTATTGGCATACATAAGATGTTTGAGGGCAAAACGTGGTACAAATAACAAAAATGCAATATGCATGCCTACATTGGTATATGTGATGAAAATGAGGTCAAACACATGTTGAAAGAGCTAATGAGACCGAAGACACGCTGTTCGCAATGGGTGTGCCAAGTGTCGATGCAGAAGAAGTTCGTGTAAGCCGCGAAAGCGGCACCCTAAGATCTCAATAGCCAAAAAAAAAAAATAGAACACAATAATGGATAAAAAGGGTTTTGCACACCTAATTTGGGATCTACTAAGGTTCTCGTCCCCAAAAGAGCTCTTGTGAGGTGAGGGCAAATCCGGAGGTTATATGCAGAGTGGGTTAGCTTCCCCCAAACGATGTGGGACTCCCTTCCACAAGGGTTTAACATACACTCGGATCCACCGTACCTGGCTCTAATACCAACTAAGGTTCTCATCCCCAAAAGAGCTCTTGTGAGGTGAGGGAAGCCCCGGAAGTTACATGCAGAGTGGGTTGGCTTCCCGTAAGTGATGTGGGACTCCCTTTCACAGGGGCTTAACATACATAGCAACAATCTCGAGCACAAGAGCTTCTCCTCTATTACCCTATGTATCACTGGCTCAAGGAGATTGCTCTTCACGGCTGCGTTCTATAACTGCTCCTTACATAAAGTTATTTGTGCATTAGTGTTAGAAGAGAGACTTGAGCATTATTTATACAGTTTTCAATCATAAGCCCTCTCATCACAGGCCGAGCTTTACTCGACCTACACTAGCCAGTCCCATATTAGACTAATTAAGAATATTTACATTTTACTTTATTAGACCAATTCCATAAAACGGTAAATTTTAATCTCAATTAATGTAGCCCATATCAGAAAAACTCTTACATTTTCCCATTTGAGCTATATTAATTTAAACCTTGCCGTATGTGCACACCTTTATGTTGGTTTATAGATTATTCTTAACAGTCAATTCAATCTCATAAAGTCCCAAACACCAAATCATGGCGGTAACTGCATAAATACACACAAAGCCTTCCATGATCACGAGTGCTTTTAACTCTACTGACATGGATTCAATATGGTAGTGTGGCAAATGGATAACACCTCATAGAGAGTGATACCTTATGTGTCATCCCCATTGTCAGTCCACATTCTCTCTCATTAAGTGTCACAAAACCTAATGTGTCAACAAACTCACATATGTCTTATCCTTATAGTTAACTTTACTTTATGTGTAACATGACAAATCCTTAAGGTTAATAACTGAATGCTCATAGCCTTTATTCAGGGTATACACAATACCTTGAGATTTTCATTCGATATATGTATTCAACATAATAACAATACATTCATAAACACTTTATTGAATGCCAAAAGGTTGATACATATCAAAATGTTACAAATGTAACCAACATAGATATAAACTTTATTAAAGCAAAAACAAAACAGCTTCCACTAAACTCCCACTAAATAGTTGTATCTCATGATGCTCCTAAGCCCATGCTAATGACATGTCGTTCAAACACACACGGGTGAAGACCTTTAGTTAGTGGATCTGCAATCATGTCATCTCTGGAAATATGCTTTACTGCAACATCATCATTCTCAATTGTTATCTTTGTGGTAAAAAACTTGACCGCTATATGCTTAAACCCCTTGAGACCTCTGTTGTTGTTGATAAACAAAACTGCAGAATTATTGTCATAATACAGCTGTATGAGCCTATCCATAAAATCAAATACGGTCAACTCTCTAATGAGGTTCCAGAGCCAAATAACCTGAGTAGTGATCGAAAAGCATGCTACAAACTCCGCTTGCATGGTAGAGGATGATATAGATTTCTGTTTCTCACTTTTCCATGATACTGAACCTCATGCTAACATAAAGATGTATCCTGTCATCAACTTCATGTCATCCTAATAGCTAGCAAAGTCTATATCCAAATACCTTACTAGCCGCAGGTCCTGAATATGTCTGTAGATCAGCATATAGTCTCTAGTTCTCTTTAAGTACCTCGAAACCTTCTTGGCAGCAACCCAGTGATTGTGTCTTGGATTTGACTGATATCTGCCTAGAGGTCCTGTTGCAAAAGCAATATTTGGTCTAGTTCAAACTTGAGCATACATGATACTTCCAATTGCATCAGCATAAGGTACATCCTTCAATTGGGCTTTCTCAATATCCGATTCACCCTTAATGACAGAAGCAATTCCTAACTTGCAATGCTACATACTAAGCCTTTCTAAAATACGATCAACATATGCCCTCTCAGACAAACTCAATACACGGCGAGAATGATCCCTATGGATCTCAATGCCAAGGACAAAAGATGCATCACCAAGGTCTTTCATGTCAAAATTCTTTGACAACATCCACTTTGTCTCATGTAATAATCCAAGTCACTACTCACAAGCAAGATATCGTCTATATAGAGTACGGAAAAAATAAATTTCCTCCCACTGACCTTGTAGTATATACATTGATCTACTTTGTTCTCAACAAAACCGAATGAAGTGACAACACTATGAAACTTCAAGTATCATTTGCTATTGACTTTTTCTATCTACACACAAGCTTACCTGAATCATCTGCTGCAAAGCCTTTGGGTTGCACCATATAGACCTCATCATCAAGGTCTCCATTCAACAAGGCAGTTTAAACATCTATCTGGTGTAATTCCATATCAAAATGAGCTACTAATGCCATGATTACTATGAAGGAATCTTAGAAGAGACTAGGGAAAAAG